GTGTGGGTGTGGGTGTGGTGTGGGTGTGCGGGTGTGGGGTGTGGGTGTGGGTGTGTGGGTGTGTGGTGTTGGTGTGGGTGTGGGTGTGGGTGTGGGTGTGTGGTGTGGGTGTGGGTGTGGGTGTGGGTGTGGGTGTGGGTGTGGGTGTGGGTGTGGGTGTGGGTGTGGGTGGGTGGGTGTGGGTGTGGGTGTGTGGTGGGTGTGGGTGTGGGTGTGGGTGTGGGTGTGGGTGTGGGTGTGGGTGTGGGTGTGGGTGTGTGTGTGTGGGTGTGTGTGTGGGTGTGTGTGTGGGTGCGTGCGTGCGTGCGTGCGTGCGTGCGTGCGTGCGTGCGTGCGTGTGTGTGCGTGCGTGGGTGCGTGGGTGGGTGCGTGGGTGCGTGGGTGCGTGCGTGCGTGCGTGCGTGCGTGGGTGGGTGCGTGCGTGTGTGTGTGGGTGCGTGCGTGCGTGCGTGCGCGCGTGCGTGCGTGTGTGTGTGTGTGTGTGTGTGTGCGTGTGTGTGGAACATTTGTTGCTTCTCGCAAGTGGAAAAGGTCTGGCAGGAGTTGCGAGCCAGGAAGCACAGGGGCATGTCGCCCATCTGCCAGCAGTCTCGACATCAAAGTTGCCGCGGTCTTCCGTGCGTCCTTTTCAGAGTGATCCCATGCTAAATTGAGCTAGTGACGTACCAACTTACAAATCTTACACTTGTGGAACTACCAGCACGTGGACAGAATGAGCGACAAACGTGATACACATACATTTGTCTGATGGCGGAATGAGTGAGAGAGAAATGAACTGGATTGGAAGTGGAGCAAGCGGAACCTGACTCCCAACACAAGAAGCAAAGGAAAATGTCCTGCGAAACAAACAAAAAAACAAAGCAAACACGGAAGAAGAGAATCAGAGTGGAAAGAAGGAACAAGATGGAGAAGAACATTGCTTCAGAATGAGAGAGGCCCAAAAGTAAAACGCTGGCCAAACAATCCAAAAGCAACAATGACAAGCAGAAGAAGAAGCAAAGCCAAGGAACACAAATCGCAAGCAAAACCAACCAGAAACTTTGCACCCAAAAGAACTGCGGTTGTGCAAAAATGGGGCTTATTCAAGAACACACGCATGTTGGCAATTGCGTTTGCAGGTTTGCTTCCTGCAAATGTGATCGAAAAACCTTGTTTTGTTTTAAAAGGAGGAAGCAGGAGCTTGCCCAGATCAAAAACCCCCTAAGTGTCCCACTTTCATTCCTCAGAGTCCATTTTGTTACCCTACAGCAGCACTCTTGCTCCTTTGTTTGAAGCAACATGCTTGAACCACGCCAGCCCAACTATCACAGCGTTGACTGCATAGCGCGCCAATCTTTCGCTTTTATGAAAGGTTGCCGTGAACGGGAATATAGGTACACATGCTACCCCCCCCTACGGTGGTGCCTGTTTGCGGCGACGGTCTTTGCGGGTGAAGGGTAGTTAAGCAGGTGTTGGGAATTAAAATCCAGCTCGGTTCTAAAAGAGCTTACGTCCTTTCTCAACTCCAGGCAAACTCTGGCAAACTAAACAGCTCGAAGGTCACATTTTTCACTACACATGTAGCAGGCAAAGTGCACTTTGGTTGCAGTTCGTTCCTTGCGCATTTCGGACAAGCAATAGTTAGAGAAAACAACTATTGGTATTGCCAGTTGTTCAAACTACATTCAAAGGTTTTTTTTCCTTTTCTCATTCCATGCGAATTTAGTCAAGCAGGAACTGATAGAAAAGAACGCTGATCTGCTTCTTGGCTCGCATTCGTCGACCGTTTGTTGTCCACAAACTATGGAACAAAACTGTCCATAATAGACAACCCAATACAATTCACAAAGAAGCCCCAATTATTGAACAGGGTGCAACATTCGTCCCTGACTTCTCTGAGCCCCTTGAATACGTAGCACTCAGGTTGTTTACCACGGAATTAAATGTAAACTGAGAATATGGAAGGTAAACATCCTACTTGCTGGTACTTGGAAAATGCACTATTTGTCTGCCGTTTGGATTCTTCAACTCCATACTTGGAGATCTGGAGTGTTGGGACATCACTGGAAAGTGTTTCTCTGTGAACAACAAAAGACTTTCTAGGGCTCAAGATTCAACAGTCCCGAAAACTATGTTCTCAGTTCTTGAATCTTGAACTACATGCATGTATGTATATATGTATATATTATATATGTATATAAGTATATAATATATAATACTTGTGTATGTATATATATATATATATATCCGCCGACCCCTGTCTCCAAAGGGGAGCCGCATGGGAAGGGTTTGTCTCGTCCTTGTCTTCGATATACGTTTCAAGAGTGCCGTTAGACTCGACTTGGAATGCAGGTGCTGGGGATGCATAGTGATGATTATCATCAGGATGTCGTCATGGTAACTGCTGGTGATGCTGGGGATGTGTAATTAGTGATGATCATCAGGATCATCATCATCATCATCATAACCCAACTTGACATGCAAAGTGAGGATTTCATGACTGCTGGCGATGCTGCGGATGCATAGTGATGCTGATGTTGAGTGATGATTTGCATCATCAGGATCATCATCATTATCGTGGCACTCTTCTTTCTCATATACGTTTCAAGTGTCCCGTCATACCCGACTATAAATGCAGAGGATGCGTAGTGATGATTGTCATGATAACTGCTGGTGATGCTGGGGATTCGTAGTGATCATCATCATCATCATCATCATGACCCGACTGGAAAATGCAGTGTAGTCATGCCGGGTGTGCATCATCATCATCATCACCATCTGATTGCAGCCGTGCTCACAGCTTGCTTCTTGCGAAGACGAAGCGATGACACAAAGTTCACGCTTTGCATCCACAGCAATACAACGAACCCCCAACATAGCTTTCCTGCCCAAGTTTCTCCGCAATCCGAGGGGCACTTCTTGTAAACTCCAACAAGGTGCTCATTATCATGCGAATTAATCCTGCAGTAGCTTGTTTGAGATGCAGGGCATGCGTCGTCATAATTATCATAACAACTGCTGGTGATGCAAGAAATGCAAAGTAACAGTTATCTTCATGACTGCTGGCGATAATGCGAATGCATAGTAATAAATATCATCCCTGATTTTGGCTAATAATTTGCATCATCAAAAACATGATCATTATCGTGGTGCTCTTCTTTTTCATATATGCTTTGAGTGTGTCGTTAAGCCCGACAAACAACGCGTAGTCATAATGTTATAAGCAAGCCGGGGGCGGCGGCACAGGGCGGCAGCCCTTAGATAATATATCCTGAAGTGTGCGTTGTTGTTTCCTGAATGCTGCAATTACGCATCGCTCGATCACTGCGCTGTCCGACCCTGTCCTTTGCCTGCAAGGCAGCCTCCAACGTGGTGAAGCTACCATCTGAAAGCCGCATCAATACGCCACAGCGCACTTCAACCACATCCAGTGGAGGCAGTTGCGTGGCTGTGCCAGCAGACAGCAGAAGGGTGGCCAGCTCATCAGAACCAAGGAACTGAAATAGGGTTCCAAGCGTCGGCTCAAATCTCGTGCGCCACTGCGGCAGGGCCTCGGACAGGTCGATCAACATTGGCGCCTCGCAAACAGCTTTCACAGCTTCCTTCATGAGCTCTTTCTTGTGCTCTGCCGAAACCATACCAACACCTTGAGCTCGGCTCTGCCTCTGGAGCAGGTCAGACCTGGCCAAGAGAACCTGAACCTCCCGAGGTGGAAAGCGAGGCCTCACCCCTTCGCTGGCAGGCGGCAAAGCTCCCGGCTGCAGGTCGCATGCCAATCCGATGAAATGTTGGCGTGCCTGTTCACAGACTTGATGAGGCGAGGGGCACGAGCCTTGAAGAAGGCTGCAAAGCTTGGCAACTGCCGGTGCTGTTTGTCCGACCCAAAGGTGGCTCAGGCTCGCTGCCATCATCTTGCTGTGTCTCAAAAGAAACTCGCTGAAGCGGTCTTGAAGACCGAACTGTGCAAAAGCTTGGACACCGTACGCTTGACACAACTCCTTCTCCACCTTGCCAAGACACTTCAGGAGACGTACGGCATCTGGTGAGTGTGCATCGTGCCCACCTGATTCCTCGGGTTGGCTCAGCGATTGTGTAATCATCTGACTGAGCTTCTGCGCCAGCTGCGCTTCATCGACATTCGGCATGGCATCCACAACTTGCATGGTCTTACCAGAGGCCAGCGAGTCGATTGCTTCACCCAAAGCCGCATGGACGAGGGCAAACTCCTGACATTCCCCCCAGATTGTTTTCGAAGAGCAAAATACTAGCGCTCTCGTTGTTGTACTGAGCGAACACGGCACCACCTGTCTGCCTTGCTTGCCATATTGCCTTGCGGTAGCGAACAACATTCAAGACAACATGAACGGAGTCTGCCAACAGCCTGAAAAGCCTTGGCTGTGCGGGTCCAATGTGCTTCCAAGGCCAAGCTCTGCTTCCTCTCACATTACATTACATTGCTTGATGTACTTACATTACGAATACGTGCTATGTCGAAGGATGCACTTACTGCGGCACATCACATTAATTACGTTATATTATGTCACATGTATTTACATTACATTACGCACATAACATTGCATTGAGTTGCATTACATTGCAGTGCATTGCAGCGCAGTGCGTTGCATGTCTACACTACATTACACTACACTATGACACACTGCGCTACGCTACATTACACTACATTACACTACATTACACTGCATTACACTTCATTACACTACGGCTGAAGCCCTAAATATTGCAGGCGCGGAGCAAACAAACAGACAGTCCACAAAGAAAGAGCACTGCGGCCCTGATACAATGTTGAACTTGCAGCACATTGGGCCTTGGAAAACGGGTTACGCGCTTGGCTTCAACATTGTAACTGCAAAAGCGGGGTCCGCACGCTTGCAATATTTAAGGCTTCGACTGTCTGGGGTTGAGCGGTCACAGGTGTGAAGCAAGGCTCGAAGATCGATTTCTATAAGAAGCGGCCGTGTCAAGGTTCGCCTTCCAAAACATGCCAGACATGTGAAACTTGTGAGACTTGGCCCGATCTCGTCCTGAAACTCGTTGGTATTTGCGTGAAAATCGTGAAACTCGTGAAACTTGCCAGAAAATGAACTAAGGGTTTTCCTCTTCCAAGTTTCACGAGTTTCATGCAAACACCAACGAGTTTCAGGACGAGTTCTGGCCAAGTTGCACAAGTTTCACATGTCTGTGCTGCTTTGGGTGGCAGCCGTCTCCACAACCACGCAGGTTGCACATGTGTGGGTTGAGGTCCAAGGCAAGTCTCTCCAAAGTCTTCGCGAGCAGACAGTGCGGAGCGACGGGCGCGGACACAAATGACGACGGACAGTCTACGCGAGACTGTCTGGGGTTGAGCGGTCACAAGTGTGAAGCAAGGCTCGAAGATCGATTTCTATAAGAAGCGGCCGTGTCAAGGTTCGCCTTCCAAAACATGCCAGGCATGTGAATCTTGCGAAACTTGGCCCAAGCTCGTCCTGAAACTGGTATTTGCGTGAAAATCGCAAAACTTGTGAAACTTGCCAGAAAATGAAGTAAGGGTTTTCCTCTTCCAAGTTTCACGAGTTTCATGCAAACACCAACGAGTTTCAGGACGAGTTCTGGCCAAGTTCCACAAGTTTCACATGTCTGTGCTGCTTTGGGTGGCAGGCGTCACCACAACCACGCTGGTTGCACATGTGTGGGCTGAGGTCCAAGGCAAGTCTCTCCAAAGTCTTCGCGAGCAGACAGTGCGGAGCGACGGGCGCGGACACAAATGACGACGGACAGTCTACGCGAGACTGTATGGGGTTGAGCGGTCACAGGTGTGAAGCAAGGCTCGAAGATCGATTTCTATAAGAAGCGGCCGTGTCAAGGTTCGCCTTCCAAAACATGCCAGACATGTGAAACTTGTGAGACTTGGCCCGATCTCGTCCTGAAACTCGTTGGTATTTGCGTGAAACTCGTGAAACTTGGAAGAAAATTAAGTAACGGTTTTCCTCTTCCAAGTTTCACGACTTTCACGCAAATACCAACGAGTTTCAGGACGAGTTCTGGCCAACTGGCCAAGTTTCACAAGTTTCACACGTCTGTGCTGCTTTGGATGGCAGGCGTCTCCACAACCACGCTGGTTGCACATGTGTGGGCTGAGGTTCAAGGCAAGTCTCTCCAAAGTCTTCGCGAGCAGACAGTGCGGAGCGACGGGCGCGGACACAAAAGACGACGGACAGTCTACGCGAGACTGTCTGGGGTTGAGCGGTCACAGGTGTGAAGCAATGCTCGAAGAGTGATTTCTATAAGAAGCGGCCGGTCAAGGTTCGCCTTCCAAAACATGCCAAACATGTGAAACTTGTGAAGCTTGGCCCGATCTCGTCCTGAAACTTGTTGGTGTTTGCGTGAAACTCGTGAAGCTCGTGAAACTTGGAAGAAAATTGAGTAAGGGCTTTCCTCTTCCAAGTTTCACGACTTTCACGCAAATACTAACGAGTTTCAGGATGAGTTCTGGCCAAGTTCCACAAGTTTCACATGTCTGTGCTGCTTTGGATGGCAGGCGTCTCCACAACCACGCAGGTTGCACATGTGTGGGCTGAGGTCCAAGGCAAGTCTCTCCAAAGCCTTCGCGAGTAGACAGTGCGGAGCGACGGGCGAGGACACAAAAGACGACGGACAATCTACGCGAGACGGCTGAAGCCCTAAATATTGCAAGTGCGGAGCAGACAAACAGAGGACACGGTCCACTAAAAAGCACTGCGACGTGACATCTGCGGCCCCCCCTCCTCTGACACAATGTTGAACTTGCAACACATTGGGCCTTGGAAAACAGGTTACGCGCCTGGCTGCAACATTGTACCTGGGGGAGCGGCGTCCGCACGCAGCGGGCGATGCCCCAGAAGCAGTGTCAATATGTACTTTGGTTGCACTTGCAATATTTAAGCCTTCGCCTCTCTGGGGTTGAGCGGTCACAGGTGTGAAGCAAGGCTCGAAGATCGATTTCTATAAGAAGCGGCCGTGTCAAGGTTCGCCTTCCAAAACATGCCAGACATGTGAAACTTGTTAAACTTGGCCCGATCTCGTCCTGAAACTCGTCGTGAAACTTGAAAGAAAATTAAGTAAGGGTTTTCCTCTTCCAAGTTTCACGAGCTTCACGCAAATACCAATGAGTTTCAGGACGAATTGTGGCCAAGTTCCACAAGTTTCACATGTCTGTGCTGCTTTGGATGGCAGGCGTCTCCACAACCACGCTGGTTGCAAATGTGTGGGCTGAGGTCCAAGGCAAGTCTCTCCAAAGTCTTCGCGAGCAGACAGTGCGGAGCGACGGGCGCGGACACAAAAGACGACGGACAGTCTACGCGAGACTGTCTGGGGTTGAGCGGTCACAGGTGTGAAGCAATGCTCGAAGATGGATTTCTATAAGAAGCGGCCGGTCAAGGTTGGCCTTCCAAAACATGCCAAACATGTGAAACTTGTGAAGCTTGGCCCGATCTCGTCCTGAAACTTGTTGGTGTTTGCGTGAAACTCGTGAAGCTCGTGAAACTTGGAAGAAAATTGAGTAAGGGTTTTCCTCTTCCAAGTTTCACGACTTTCACGCAAATACTAACGAGTTTCAGGATGAGTTCTGGCCAAGTTCCACAAGTTTCACATGTCTGTGCTGCTTTGGATGGCAGGCGTCTCCACAACCACGCAGGTTGCACATGTGTGGGCTGAGGTCCAAGGCAAGTCTCTCCAAAGTCTTCGCGAGTAGACAGTGCGGAGCGACGGGCGAGGACACAAAAGACGACGGACAATCTACGCGAGACTGTCTGGGGTTGAGCGGTCACAGGTGTGAAGCAATGCTCGAAGATGGATTTCTATAAGAAGCGGCCGGTCAAGGTTCGCCTTCCAAAAAATGCCAAACATGTGAAACTTGTGAAGCTTGGCCCGATCTCGTCCTGAAACTTGTTGGTGTTTGCGTGAAACTCGTGAAGCTCGTGAAACTTGGAAGAAAATTGAGTAAGGGCTTTCCTCTTCCAAGTTTCACGACTTTCACGCAAATACTAACGAGTTTCAGGATGAGTTCTGGCCAAGTTCCACAAGTTTCACATGTCTGTGCTGCTTTGGATGGCAGGCGTCTCCACAACCACGCAGGTTGCACATGTGTGGGCTGAGGTCCAAGGCAAGTCTCTCCAAAGTCTTCGCGAGTAGACAGTGCGGAGCGACGGGCGAGGACACAAAAGACGACGGACAATCTACGCGAGACGGCTGAAGCCCTAAATATTGCAAGTGCGGAGCAGACAAACAGAGGACACGGTCCACTAAAAAGCACTGCGACGTGACATCTGCGGCCCCCCCTCCTCTGACACAATGTTGAACTTGCAACACATTGGGCCTTGGAAAACAGGTTACGCGCCTGGCTGCAACATTGCAACTGGGGGAGCGGCGTCCGCACGCAGCGGGCGATGCCACAGAAGCAGTATGTGCTTTGGTTGCACTTGCAATATTTAAGCCTTCGCCTCTCTGGGGTTGAACGGTCACAGGTGTGAAGCAAGGCTCGAAGATCAATTTCTATAAGAAGCGGCCGTGTCAAGGTTCGCCTTCCAAAACATGCCAGACATGTGAAGCTTGTGAAACTTGGCCCGATCTCGTCCTGAAACTCGCTGGTATTTGCGTGAAAATCGTGAAACTCGTGAAACTTGGAAGAAAACTAAGTAAGGGCTTTCCTCTTCCAAGTTTCACGACTTTCACGCAAATACCAACGAGTTTCAGGACGAGTTCTGGCCCACAAGTTTCACATGTCTGTGCTGCTTTGGATGGCAGGCGTCTCCGCAACCACGCAGGTTGCACATGTGTGGGCTGAGGTCCAAGGCAATTGTCTCCAAAGTCTTCGCGAGCAGACAGTGCGGGGGCACGGACACAAAGAGACGGCTGAAGCCCGAAATATTGCAGGTGCGGAGCAGACAAACATAGGGCACGGTCCACTAAAAAAAGGCACTGCGACATGACATCTGCGGCCCCCCTCCCCTGATGCAATGTTGAACTTGCAACACATTGGGCCTTGGAAAACGGGTTACGCGCTTGGCTTCAACATTGTAACTGGGGGAGCGGCGTCCGCACGCAGCGGGCGATGCCACAGAAGCAGTGTCAATATGTGCTTTGGTTGCACTTACGATATAAAGGCTTCGAC